AAGCCACCTCTATTGCAAGGATCCCCAATGGGATAGCTGTGCACCAGCAAGACAATCTTTGTGGTCCCTGATATGCTATGGTCCTATATAGTCTTCATATTACGTACCTTCCAGGCCAGAGCCTCAAGCATGAACTTAGCATCATTAGATTCAAATGAGCTATGCCAAGTAGCACCAGTTGAGGAGTAGGCCCAAACATACAAAATACCATCATATTCAACAACAGGGCAATAAACGCATCATTCCTTAAAATTGACAGCTTTTATTTATTTTAAATAAATTTGCTTTTCAATAAAAGCAGAAAAAATATATATTTCTTTAAATATGTCTTCTTTTTAATTATTCTGATAAACTGCCCAAAGTGACTCTGTTTTCAGTAACTCGGTGGCAGGGCTGACTTCGGTGGCCCTGTACACAGAGGACGAAAGCACAAAACAAAACAGTATGGTGAAAAAAGAAAACACACACACACGCACACACACACATATAAACACATATCACTGTATAAATTCCATAAAACATATATTAAGGCATGTAGAGGATAATGAAAGGGCAGCTTTAATGAGCTAAAAATTGTTACTTTAGAAGCAGAGCCAAGCAATTGTTTAAAATCTTGGAATGTCATGTGTATTGCTGAAGGAGAGAAAGAACTGAAACTCTGATTCCTGGAGTGTTCTATATATTGCTAAAAGGGTAATAATAATAATAAAAAGCGACTCATACTTTCTGGAGGACAGGGAGATGGGAACATTTCCTTTTTAACGGGAGCCAGCCAACAATTCTCCATTGAGATATGTGAGAAGGTTAGTTAGGTATTACTGAGAACTATCACTCCTATTGGCTTCTACTGACAGGGGATCTCAGAAGTGTCCCAGTGAGAGCTATCCCCCCCCCCCGCTACTTTGGTACTAAAACATATGCACAGGAAACTGCTATTCCAGCACACTTCATATGTGCAGGAAACTTCCATTCCAGCATACTATGAATAAGACTAGCAGGAATCATTCAGAACAACTGCTAGTTGGCTTGCAGAGACTTCACTGAGTCTGAGCCTCACATATCCCACAGATATGTTCTTAAATTAGAATTACATAAAGAGACAACCTCAAGTCTTGACTAAGATCAATTATAACCCCCCCTGCTCTGCAATCACCCTTTTCCATTTCATGAAGAACTCTTTTAATCCATCAGGCCAACCTAGATATGTGGGTGGCCAATCCATCTCCCCTCTGCTTCATTCATGTAGAGAACAGGTGAGGTCCAATTAAAAGAGCAAAAAGATTGTGTGAGGACTGTATACACTGAATTGTCTCCTCCTCATAGTTGCCTCCCTACAGTTTATTCCTCCGTCACTTTTTCTCTTAACCGGATTCCAGTACTGAAATTGAGCCTGGCTAGGACAAAAGCACTTTGGGAGAAGAACTGCATGGAAATAAGTAGAGGGCAGGGGAGGGCTCAGCCCCCCCCCCCAGTGTCCTTTTGCACTAAATCTTCTCATGGCTTTACATGTGCTTGGGGAAACCCTCACTTAAAGAGAGGGCCTGGTGTCCCCACATTAGCCGTGCTTCTTGTTTAAAACTATTATCTTCATTATCTTGCCATCTACTTATCTGACCACTTTGCACATACTGAACTTGCTCCTGATTGTTGCATGGTGAGGAAAGACTCAGGCATCAGCAAATGGAGATCCTTGGTCCATGCAACACTCAACTTGCCACCACAGGGAAGGTGATGACCATTTATAGGAGAAAGTTCAGAGTGAATTCACTGACATTCACAACCCTTGCTTTGCAAGCCTTTTCCAATCCAAACCAAATGCAACCAGAGTTATTCAGTGCTTCCCCTAAAAATGGGGCTGTTTGGGAAAACCAACTCATATTCAAATCAAATTAGCCTGGATTAATGTGGCTTAAGGATGGCAGAATTTAAACCTGTCATGGTACATAATTTCTCATTATGATGCATCTTTGAATAAAACCAGTGATTAAAATGCTTGTGCCAAAATCAGGCCCTGAGTGGAGTCACTAACTTTATGAGTCTACCATACCAGCATTTCAGAAGAATGATAGTACTGCTCAGATGTCAAAGTACAGTCTAAAGGACCAGCACCACTAGTACCTTCCACTGGGTCACTGTGAACAACCCAGAAAGCTGGTTTAGGTGGGAACTGGGTTCTATTGAAAAGCTAGCCATGAGGTTCCCTGAAAATCCCACTTCACAGAATGTAAGGGAAGGTAGTTCTTAAAAAAAAAAAAAAAGCCAACTATTCGTGCATGTTCTGAGTCTGTTGGTAAAACCATTTGTACTGATTACTTCCTGACAGATGTGTGTTGAGAAGAAGTGTGGAAACCAGCTTGAGAAGACTCTTCTAGTTTGATCCTACATTGAGTATGGCCAACTGATACTCTGAAGCAATTTTATTTGCCACCCCTTCCAGTGGCCTTACTAAATTTTAGTGGTAAAAAAATCTGTTCCAAGATAATGGTTTTCAGAAATTGTGGGTGAGTTTCCAGTATATATGTTTTCTGTATAATGCCCTATCTATGCTTGTGTTGTGCTGCAAAACTGTAATAGAGCCTGACCACTTTGGAAAGCATCAGGCACAATATATTTTCAGCCCTTGGATCACCATTTGGTGATTGCTCCTGAGCGAGAATATAGAGGTTGCTTATTCTTATTCCAGAGGACATTCAGACAGGTTTTATGATGTACTCATACTTTCAATAGCAGGAGCTTTGGGGGGGGGGTGGACATAGCAGCAGAGGGAGGCTTTAGAGGCTGTGTCCCTGCTGTGAGCCTTCTGGGGCATCTGGCCAGCTATTGTGAGAAAAGAGGACATTAGATTGAGCTTTGGTTTGATCCAGCACAGCTCTTCTGATGTATAACTACAGTGTGGAAGAATTTCTAAATTAGGCCTCTGATTGGGTAAGATTCCTGTATGAAAAGGTTGGGGCTTTTTGGATTTTTTTAGAGTATGTGGATGAACAAATCTCCCCAGTCTTCTACGTGTTCCCACCTTTCTGGTTTATCTGCCTCCACCTGAGAAAACAATGGGGCTCTTCTGGAAGAACAGGCTCATTTGAGATGATATTATGAGGTTGGAGCAGGCGCAGCAGCAGCCCTACATTGTTGGCTTAGGAATTTGGTTTCCATGCAAGGTCACAGCAGAGAACATGATGTAGGAAGGGGATTCTGTCTCCATATCATATGCATTTTGTTCTACTGGAGAATACACTAAGAACAGACATTCTGAATGGCAGGGATCTTTCAGGTTTACCCCACAGAAGTCAGGGAAAGATTGCTTCATATATGCCATGGGGACTGTCATAATCTAACTCATTTAATTCAGACTCCTATTCTATGTACAGACAAACCTTGAAATCACAGGTTGCTGCTTCCCACTGACTTGCTAACTCATTTGACAGATGTGCTGTTCGATGAATCAATAGCTGATTCAATATCTTGCCCTTCTTTGTATCTGGAGAAGTGTGCATGCACACAAAAGCTTACACCCAGAATTAAACCTTGTTGGTCTTAAAGGTGCCACTGGATTCAAACTTTGTTCTGTTGCCCTTCTTCCCATGTTTTAAACATACTGTCCACTTTAGAATTATTTTTAAAGTACAGCATTTAGAGATTGGTTATGCACTGGATCACTGGTTTGGTGTACTTTAAAGCCTACAACATGCACACCCCCATCAACTTTTTAGAAAGTAGAAAATAGCTCTAGGAAGGGGAAAAGGTCTTGTGAGAGATCATAGGGTTCATCCAGCTGATACTCTGTATGACTGGCTTCTGTTGCAAACAGGTAGTAACTGTTTCTTCTGGGGCCAACCCTGACAAGGATCTACAGCTTGCTCAGGATACAGCACATGCTTTGCATACAGAAAACCCCATGTTAATCTCCCATTAAAAGATCCCAGGTGGCAGGAAAGACCTTTCTCTACCTGGGATGCTGTTGCCAGTTGGAGCAGACAGTATATAAGAGCCACAGGTCTGACTTAGTATAAGGAAGCTTCCTATGTTGAAGAGAAAACTGTATCTCTGTGCGAAACAGAGGGAATGTGCTTTCCCAAGGAGCCCAGTTAGGTATATGTGGATGCAACCCTAATTCAATAGCCTGTCTTCTTGAGCAGTACCAGCTGCTTCAAGGTTTGGTACAAGAGACTCTTAAATGCATGGTTCATGCAGTCATGTATCTAGCATACAGCTTTCAATCTGGCCCCATTATTTAGAGATTGCTTCATGCCCTGGAGCACTCAGGAGGTGAATGCTCAGTGGCACGGCTGTATATTGGCTCTGATGCAAGAAGAAAGAAGTCTCATCCACCCAGTTCCAATGCTGCTTTGTGTCTACTGGCAAACAAACTTCACTGGGATGCTGAAAGTGTTAAAGCTTCACTAGCAAGCCAATTTAGCCAACAGAGCTTTCATCACGTGCACGCGCATCTGTGTATCTTTCATCCACATACACTGAACATACCTGCTGCTTCACCCCACCCAGAGCTTTGGAAAGAAAAAACCCCACAGCTACAGCAATATTCCTGCAAGCAAGCTGATTCCAAAGCATCTTCTGCTTCCCCCCCCCACGCTGATAGCCTTCTGTTCACTTCACCTGCCACTTTCATTAAAATTCTAATTGTCCATTTGTGCTCCTTCCTGTCCCGTGAATGGTTGTGAGCGTAAGCAGAGAAGCATGGCCGTGCAAGGTATCACGGGTTGCTTAGCTCTAGAGAGTAAGGATACTAATGCCATTCTGATTGGTGGAGGAGACCAAAGGTGTGTGAGGGAGAAAAGCTGGGTGCTCATTTCAGTGAAGGGCTCCGAACACCCCCGGCTGCAGTGACAAGTCATTCTGCATACAACTTCCTCCTGCCCCTCCTTGTCCCCCTCCAGAATGGTGAAAAGGGGTTGAGTTCCAGGAGTCAGGCTCATGAGTGGGGGAAACCTCCCCTCCCCCTGTCATCATCACCCCCCTCCCCATTCCAGTCCAGTGCCGGCTCTCTGCCAAGTGAACAGTTGGTCTTTAGCGGCTGGTCCTTTGCCTTGGAGTTTATGCCATTGACTCAGATGGGTCTTGCGGAATGAAACAGCTCCTGTCTGTAGAGTCCCTTATTGTTTCCAAGGGCTTGCTTGGGCAGTGGCTACAAGTCACAGGGGTAGGGATAAACTGGGGCAAAGTGAGACATCCCTGGTCTTCCCAGAGGCAGCTTTTCCTTCCTGAATGTTCTCACAAGTCAACCAAAGGAGGGGTTCGGAGAGAACCAGCACCACAATGAGCACATTGTTAAGTGGCTGTGTTGGGGTGCACACTTGTGTGTTAAAATGTGGCTCCGTGGAACTTCACAGCATTCACAGCAGCCAGGGCTTGTGCTGGAAGAAGGAGAGGAGAAAACAGTCAGTGACAATAACTGGAGCCAAAGGCAGTGGCCTACCTCAATTAACTTTCCCACTATTTCTTAAAGCAAGGCTTTGCAGAGACTGTAAATGTAGGAGGCTTAGCTTAGATCTAATTCAAATATAGAAAAGAGTGAGGTGGTCAAATGGACTTTTCCACTACTGGAGGTGACATCCAGCTTTGAATGTTCCTTCTCAATAAATGCCATACAAAATTCAGTGTTGCCCACCAGTCACCGGCAACCAGAGGGAGCCTGGATGCAGTGACTGGTGTAAATGGTGTCACATAAAGCCATGACATAGGCTTGCCAGGTCCCTCCTGGCAACCTGTGGGACATGGAGGGGACTTACTTGGAGAAAGAAAAAGGCCCAGGCCTCATTGCCGACATTGCACAGGAAGTGATGTCATCACACCAGTGATGTCCAGGTGATGTTCTGGAATTTGGGCAAAAACTATATGGTAAAACCAGCTTCTACCACAGAGTTTTGCTCAAATACCAGAGTGTCATCTGGATGTCGCTGGTGTGATGATGGAACTTCCTGTTCAACACTGACAATGAGGTCTGGGCCTTTCTCTTTCTCCAGGTAAGGACCTGGAGGCAGGGATCCCCCACCTCCACCAGGGGTGTCTAGCAACCTTATCATGGCATCCTTTCTGGTCAAAAACTTGGAAGTGATGTCACTGAGTTGTGCAAATCTCTAGGAATTTCCCAGATCTCTACAGCAAAAAACACAGAGATCTGGGAAATTCCTTGAGAGTTGCACGACATAGTGACATCACTTCTGTGGTTTTGATCAGAAATGACACCATGGCATTGTGTAGGTAGTATTTTGGGGGTGGAGAGTGACATTTCAAGACTGTGCAACATCACTATGTGGTTTGTACCCAGAAGTGATGTCACAACCCTGTAGGAATTGACCCATTTCTGTGGTTTTTACCATAAAGACCAACCTAGAAGTGACACCACAATTTTTCTGCTGGAGTCAAGATTTGTGGCAGGGCCTGGCAGCGCCAGGCCTTCCTTATAAAAAGAGGCCTCCCACCAATTGTTGCTGTTGCCTACTGCCATTCTGAGGAGCAGTCAAAGAAAAAAACAACAATGCTACCAGTCTTTGCATCAGTATGTCACTTCTGGGTACAAGCTGGAAGTGATCATACATCACTCTAGGAATTGCCAGAAACTCTATGGTTTTATTGTAGAGCTTCTAGCTATTCCTAGAGCTACCCACTATCAATTATTGGTTGTACTCAGAAATGATGTATTGATGTTGGCAACACCAGTTTGGTGTAGTGGTTAAGTGCATGAACTCTAATCTTGGAGAACCAGTTCTGATTCCCCACTCAACACATGTCTAAGAGTTATGTTTCCAATTTCTGTAATTCTTATCCTATTACTTTGCTTATTGGATGACTTATTCTATTGACTGCACTGATTTAGACTGTGTAATCTGTCTTGAGCCAAGAGGGAATTAGATAAACATATGGAGCAGAGGTCCATCAGTGGCTATTATCCACAAGGTATAGATAGGATCTCTCAGTTTGGGGGCAAGTGATGCACTGTATTCTTCTAGTGTCCTGGCCCCACTGCTGGACCTCCTGATGGCACCTGATATTTTTGGCCACTGTGTGACAGAGTGTTGGACTAGAAGGGCCATTGGCCAGATCCAGCATTGGCTTCTTTTATGTTCTTATATTCTTATGAGCCTCAATGAGAAAAGCAGACTATAAATAATGTAAATATTACCACACTCTGCTTGCTGGTTTTCTACTTGCAGGGAATTTTTGACATTGGGAAGCATTCTAACATGAGATTGTGCATGATCCTTCATTGATCATCTGACGTGGTAAGGTCCGTTGTATCTGCACCACTATATCCCTGCCTGGGTGAACCAGGCTTTAAAGGAATGCCACAGAGATGTTATTTTGACATTAAAAGGCCCATATTTTTACATGAAGACTTTAAAAAAAATTAATGATTTTCTCCCAAAGCGATTGTGCCAAATGTGTGTCAGGCAGATCAAAGCAAAGTCTCTTGTGGCTGTTTGTGGAATGAATGGGAATAATATCACTAATAATGATAGGTGTCAGGCTTACAATTTGGGGAAAGATGCACGAGACTGCATACTGAAGGGGCCCATCTTGATATTCCTATACATCATATTTTAGCTATTTTTACTTATTCAGAAATTCAGAAGCCCTATACAATGAATGTACTGGCTGAACTGATCGATGGGGGTAAATTTACTTAACCAAATATGTTATGGGACTGTTTTGCATGCAGGAGATAATGGCCATGGGCATGCCTGAAAATTCTGACTTTTCCTAAATGTTTGGTCATAATTATTGCTGCATTTCTGCTAATGTTGTCATATCACATATTGCATTTGTAGTTCAATGGCGGCCTTCTTGACTATTCTACACAGAATATGTCTCATTGTAGAGCAGCAAGAATGAACATGTGTTTTATGGAAAATGTGACTTTGAACAGATTTTTTGAGAGGTGTGGACCTGCCCCAGTGATTTTTTTAAAAAATTGTCTGTACATGCATGTCAACATGTATAATAACTACAAAATTTTAATAAAATCCATAACTACAATACAACCAAATTGTATTGATTTGGCATGGAATGAATGACTTATGAACTGCAACACTATCATTATTACATACAGTTCATGTGGTTGAAGGGCAATACGGCTATGCGGTTATCAACTAATTTTGCTGGGTTATACAAAGTAAAAATTATTCAAGGGTCTTAACATGCATTAAAACATGTTTTATCGGGGGGGGTGTCGGGGTGTGTGTGTTGCATACACTACCTCAATGATACAAACATTAAAGAGCCTAAAATGACCTTTAATTTGAGTCATGAATGGCTGCTGCCTACCTATTCGTAATGGACCTATAGCTCATTAATTGAACTTTAAAAAAAAAAATTCTCCCACTCCACCTCTGCAGTGCTTTTAGGCCTGGCAACATGTGAATTATAATTCTTGGGGACAAGATATTCAAGAAAACCTGTACCACAATATTGTACCACAAATTTTGCATGGCAAACCATTTGCTCTTGTACTATGGAAACCCTGTCAACGGACTCCAGGAAAATATATGATAGCTCGGTTCATTGTTGAGGCATCTTCCGCTGAGTCCATGGAAGGAGACTTGGTTTATTTAGAAAAGTCAGAAATGTTAGCTTAGTGGAAATCAATGAATGGATCGGTTGGTGGAGGGAGGAAATGCTTGAGAAAGAGGCTTGCCAACTCTTTTCCCCAAGAAACTGAGGTAAACAGAGAATGAGATGGAGGAAAATAGAAAATGTGCTTACTTTATGGCTCAGACACGCATAAAATGGCTGTCGGTGCCCTGGGATGAGTCAGACGAGAGGGACTTGGTCGGTGGAGTCGGGGAGGCTGGGGAGGTGGGAGGGCTCGGGGTGGCACATTGAGCTGGAAACAAGAAATGGAGAAAGTGCCTGAAGAACATGATACTTCAGCCAGAAAGGAGGAAGAGGAAACAAAGGCAAAGGCACACATTCCATACAGCAACAGAGGTTAGAGGAAGGGAAAAGGAAACATGATTAGAAATAACAAAGTGGTACAAAAGGGCTCCTCCATGGTGTGCGCACATTATGCCCCACTGGCACGGCACGCTGCACAGGGAGCATCACGGAATACGGCAAGGAGAAAGCATGCATGGCCCTTGCAGCCTGCCACGCTGCTAAAGATGGAAGTATTTTCTTTTCTGCTCGGCATTTCGTCAGCAAAAAGTGTCAGGATTAATATTAACAGGAACCGGAATACCCACAGTGCAGCCCTAATATGTGATGATATTCATCACAGATTCTAAAACTAGATGTGGCTTGAATAAAAATAATCTCAGCTGCACAGGACTGGCCACAAGGTACTAGACACTCACTACACAACAGCTTCATACTCAGTCCTGAGTAGCAGCAGCAGCAGCAGCAGTAAACTGAACCATCTAGATATTTCCTTTGGCAAGGCTCCAGAGGATGGAAACGCTTCCAGTGAAGAAAAACATACAGCTAGTATGTTCCCTAGCCATTTGTAGCCAGCTCACTGTCCCCCTTGCCATTGGTCAAACTTTAGATATATATACAGAAACGGCCTTGCCTATGCTTCACTGATGTAGTCTTTATTCCCTTTATGGATTAAGGGAGAGGATAGCAAAGTCCATTACGATGCCTACCACTGCACAAGTCATTTGATGGCCCAGACCAATTACTGTGATGTGCAAACATGCCCCCTTTGACACCAGTATAAAACTAGAGCCATTTAGCAGCACATTTAGCTTCGTAGGATAATTTTTCTGCAGCAGCAGTGGTCCTGCAATTTACAGTACCAAGAACTTTAGCTGTTGTCTGTTTTGTTTATACTATGTACAACAAATAGTAATAAATAGCTCATTCATTTATTTCAAGTACAAATACAACTTATAATTCAATGTAGGATATCCTGCGACTGGCAAAACTTGGAGTAGGGAGTAGAAGCGTTGGCTTCTTCGAGGGATGCATGACTCCCTCTCCTACTCTTTCTTACCTTCTCTTTCTGCATTGTTATCATCTTACCAGAGAGCATACGGCCCCGCCTGGAGGCTTCTGCAGCCAAAGCACAGGAGATCTCTATTCGCTTCTCCTGCTCCTGGAGCTGGGTCTCTGAGTCCTGGGGCATGTCCACCTCTCCCTCATTGAGGGGGACCACATTCTGCATGCTGCAGGAGAAAAGGCTTGGAGTTATCTCTGGAAGCTGACTGTCCCAGAACATGCCTGACCAAGAGAACAGGTTCATGGCTCACAGGTCAATGGCTCAGGAGAAGATGAGGGAGTAGAGACATGAAACAACATACTTTCTATCAAACAGTTTGTTTGGCACTTGGGGTGATGACACACTGATTAAAGACCACTGGCGTCAGCAGGTAGCTGTTCAAAATGCATGCATGAAAAAGAACAGATGAGGGGGTCTACAAGGTGCCATGACAGCTGTGACAACCATGCCCCCCAAAGCCAATGCAAAATCACTGTAGAACACATGTGGAAGGTAAAAGTTGGGGGGGAAAGACAATGGAAAATGTACAGAAAACTCCCACATGCAGAAGCTCCATCACCAACATGCATCCCTCTGCATTCACAGAGGCAAGGAAAGTAATGTGGAGAATCTTCGTAGAAGGAGCCAGAACCATATTAAGTAGAAGAAAGACAGCTCTAGCTTGTGTTGTACCTGGATTTGGCAATGAGAGTCTTTATCCTTTCCACTTTCTTTTGCTTCTCCTTCATCTCCTCAGGACTCAATGGGGTATCAGGTTCCAGCTCGATGTACCTTTCTGGGATGAGGACTTTGTCTGGAGTGGAAAGCTGAAGAGCAGACAGAGGCAGGTAGTGAGTTCAAAAGGTGGCAAATAAGATGAGCTTCATGGAAACTGTCTTAACTCAGGCAATTGTTTCTAATTCCTGGCTTGAGGTAATCCATTACAAAGCATTCTGGCTCAAATTCATCCTGGCTTGTCAGGTTACTCTGTCTAGATCAGAGGTGTTGAACTCCTTTGTTACGAGGGCCAGATCTGACATAAATGTCACTTTGTCAGGTCAGGCCATGCTTGCCATAAAATGTAATGCCAGGTACAGGAGATATAAACTTTATAAAGGGCGCAGGCAAACTCAAGTAATGATATTATTTTTACTCAAAATACACACATGCTTAAAACATTAACACTCTTACAATATTTCCTTAAAGTATCTCCCTGATGCCCACCCTCCTGCTTCCACTGCCCATTATGCATTAGCCAGGGGTCATTTCGTAGAAAAAGAGCTAGGGGAACTCATTAGCATAACTCATTAGCATATGCCACACCCCCTGACATCACCGGAAGTGTGTCATAAGGCCACACCTCCTGACATCACCGGAAATGTGTCATAAGGCCACACACCCTGCCCCCAATGGTCCGGGCCGCCGGTGCCGGCCTTGCAGCTCCACTGTCGAGCCCCATGAGGGGCCCGGTGGTGGACCTGCAAGGCCGGCGGGAGTGCAAGGAAGCCCCGCGAAGGCCCTCCCACGGGGCTTCGTCATGTGCCCCGCCCCCGTACCTCACCTGGGGGAACTGCGTTCCCCCGCATTCCCCCCCCCCGAAATGACCTCTGGCATTAGCCCTGGGAGAGTATACAGGGACATAATGCACAGCCCCTGTCATCTGGCAATAAAGGTTATGACCAGTTGTTTGCAGGCCAGATAAGAGTCGTGGATGGGCCAGTTCTTGCCCGTGGGCCGTATGTTTGGCACTCCTGATCTAGATTGTCCTGGGTCCTGGCGCCTAATCACAGACATGTTAACAGACTAGACCCTAGTTTAGCCACATACAATGGACCATTTAGGGAAGGAGAGAAATTCTATGCTAGGCAGGTTGTGGTATAGATAAACATTAGATTTTACCTCTTTGCTGATATCTACATCATAATGTTCTGGTTCCAGCTCCATTTTACGCAGCCGAGCAATCTCTTCCCGGGGGGTTTCATACATCTTGCCCGAGTCTTCTGAGCGTAAGGCTGCCTCCAGATCAGATATATCTACCTCATGGATGCTGCGGTGTCTGCGAACCTAGAACATTTCATGATCAGCTGACTTTAGGGTCGTCTGGTGACAATAAATGCAGATTACACCCCATCAGACCTGGCTAGCTCTTATACCTGGCATGTCACAACTACCCCTTCCTCATATCAGACCTGGCTTAAACATCATGCTGGCAAGGCAAAGAGTGTTCCTATGCAAATGTGCATGGGCTAAGCATCTCATTTAAACTGGACTGCTGCTTGCACAATGTTTACATGCTTAGTTTACATGTCAGCGCAATATCTGCCTGGACTATGGCTTGCAAGCTAAGCACACACAGCTGCTTTGTATAGTGCAACATAGCTTAAATGAGACATTTAAATCTCTGCCTGGATTGTGTCACTACATATTGCAAGTGGGAGCTCACACAACTGAATGACTGCAAGTTGACTGATCACCAGGTGCAGATGGTTAACCCCCAAGAGGTCTTAAAGAACTCAAAACTGAAATCGCAGAGTTTTTAGCAAAGGTAATATGCAAGAACACTGGGAAACAGCCAATATGATATTGATTTTTAAAAAGGGACCAGGTGAAGGCAATGACACTACAGGCTTGTTAGCTTAATGGTTGTCCTGGTAAAATAGTAGAGAGTGTTATTAAATACAGAATTGTTCAACACATGGAAGAAGGAACTTTGATGAAGAGCAATCAGCATGGCTTCTGTAAAGTGAACTCCTGCCTCATCTTAGAATTCTTTGAGAGCATCAATAAGCATGTAGACTTGGGTAGACACTGTATATTTAAACTTCAAAAAGCAGCTTACAAGGTACCTCACCAAAGGCTTTTGAGTAAACTTATTCCCTGACTGTTATCCCATAAGAGAATATGTCCTTTCATGGATTAGTCACAGGCTAGAAAGGAGGAAGTAGGTGTGAAAAAACTGTTCAAATGACTTGTATAGAAATATTAATTTCTGTGGGCTTCATGTTTCCCCCTTGGAATGTATCTTGCTGAACCCCTGTTGTGTGCATTTCCTCTAGAAGCCAAATGGGCTCAATAGCCTGCCATAAAACATTCCTTCACACGCTGGAAGAAGAGCAGATGCCTAGCTGACATGCAAACAGGCACGTAGTAGGCCCAAGGTGGGTTGGGCTCTGGGGTCATTTGCTGCAGAGGGTGGTCCCCAGACCTAGCCTATCCCCACCCATTGCCATGACAACCCAAGAGGTGGACAACCCCCTGTCTATTGTAATTGGCTAATGGCCACAGCTGATTGTAATCAGATTGGGGTTTAATTGTCTGATCCCTTAGAAGAGAGCTCTGTTTCTTCTCTTGCTCTCTCTTTCATGTTGAATTGTACCTGGGAAAGGCTGTCCCAGGCAGAACAAAGGATTCTTTGGTGCAGCTGAGCACATGGCTGCATACTTGCACAAAGATGGGATTTCTGCTGAAGATCCTGTGGGATCTTGTTGGACTGTATACTTGGACATTCTTGACTATGGATCCTCCTGGTAATTATGCATATCTCTAATGTCTAGTCAGGGCCAAGAGCCATAGGTTTTCTTGTTTTGAATTCTTATTATTCTGATTGCAAGTCTGTACTGAATAAACTTTATTCTTGCTTATAAATAGTGTCTGCTTGATGGGTAACTGGACTCCAAGGCTAAACTCCCTGTGCCTAGCTGGCTGTAAGCTACCATTGAGCCTTAAGAGTGCATCTCTGAGGAGGTGCTAGAGCTGGGTATTGTTGTTAATGTACTGTAAACGTGTAGGAGTTTTCCCTCATTCCTAGACAGGCGTGGGGGTAGAATCCTGTACATGACTGTTTTTAGATGTATATATTTATTGTTATTGTGCTTTTATTGTTTGAGCCGCCCTGAGTCTGCTACGGCAGGGAGGGTGGGGTACAAATTTAAATAAATAAATAATAAAAAGGTGATTTTTATAGTGGAGAGAAGTAAACAGTGGGATCCCCACTGCATTGAGACTGGAGCTATTTAATATATTCATATATGACCTAGACCTGAAGATGGCCAGTGAGGTGATGAAGTTTGTGACTGACACCAAATGGTTCAGGATGGTGAAAACACAAGGGAAGCACCAAAATCACCTTTTCAAACTGGGTGAATGAATGACAAAATGGCACATGGAATTCATCATGAGTAAATGCAAAGTGACACATGTCAGGGCAAAAAACATAATCCTAATTTGACATATATGCTGATGGAGTCTGACATGGTAATGACAGATCAAGAAAAAGGCCCTGGGGCTATTGTGGATAACTTGCTGAAAATATTGACTTTTTAGCATAAAAAGTTAACTTTATGCTAGGGATCATAAAAAAAGAGAGATTGAGAATCAAACTGCCAGTATAGTAATGCCTTTAGAAGAGTCCCTTGTGTGGCTTCATTTGGAACACTGTATACAGTTCTAGTTACAGCATCTCAAAAAGGATGCTGAAGAGCTGGAAAAAGTACTGGAAAGGGCAACCAAAACGATCACAAGGTTGGAGTGCCTGCCCTGTGAGGCAAGGCTGAAACATCCATAGCTCTTTAGGTTAGGAACAAAGGTAATCAAGGGCTGATATGATAGAGGTCTGCAAAATTGTGCACAGTCTAGAGAATGTGGATAGAGGGGAACTTTTTTCCTTTTCCCACAATACTAGAATGAAACTGATTGGCAGTAGTTTCCAGACAGACACAAGGAAGTACTCTTTCACACAACCGGTGGTTAATCTTTGTAACTTGCTGCCACAAGATATGGTAATGGCCAGTGGCTTAGATGGATTTAAGAGGGGGCTGGGCAAATTCATGGAGGTTAAGTCAATTGATGGTATTATCCACAATAGCCGTATACAGCCCCCAAGTTCAGAGGTAAAATGACTGATTATATGCTGGAGAAGAGTCACAAGGTGAGGGCTGTTGTCTGTGGACCATGCCTGGGAACTTGGAAACTGGGAACTTGGAAACAGGAGGCTAGACTAGATGAACCACTGGTCAAGCATGGCTTTTTGTAATGGGTCTTCCATATATTTTTTTTTCCCTCTGAACACAGAAAAGGAGAAAAGTTCTACCCTACATTTTCCTGTGACATGCTAGGTTTTTATGTGTAGGAATCTTTTGTGTATGTGCACAGAGCTTGGCAGGGGGAATATTTCACAAGCAGTCTAAAACGGTAAAACTGGGATACAGGTTCACCATCTCAGCATCTGTCTGTAAGAACCAAGCCTTTCCACCATGATCCCAGATGATGATGAAGAAGAAGAAGAGAGAGAAGAGATTGGATTTATACCCCGCCCTTCACTCAGAGTCTTAGAGCAGTTTACAAACCCCTTTCCCTTCCCCTCCCCACAACAGGCACACTGTGAGGTAGGTGGGGCTGAGAGAGCTCTGACAGAAACTGCCCTTTTAAGGACAGCTCTTGCACAAGGTCATCCAGCAGCTGCAAGTGGATGAATGGGGAACTAAACCCATTTCTCCCAGATTAGAGTCCACACACTTGACCACTACACCAAACTGGCTCTGATTTTCCAGAAATTGCTGATTTTTCTCTCACTCACTTCTTGCTCTGTTTTCTTGGTATATTAGCCTTGCTAAACCCTTCTCTGGAAAGACGACTGACCCTCTTTACACCAGGTGGCAGGTTGGCCTTGAGACAGATATGGTGGGGGAGTTGCCAAGGCCCCACAGCTTGGATAGTGCTGTCCACCGCAGCAGCAGGGAGTGTGCACTGTCCTCTCTATCTGAGTAGTGTCTATTTGGCCCCATGAAGGAGTGAACCTCCTATCCCTCCTCCCTCCCTAGGTGGATGCAGTAGGTCCTCTCCTCCCTCTCTGCAGCAGTGCTGGTGGACATCACTGCTTTTTGTTCTCATCTGCCCAACTGAGCAGAGATTGGTGCTCGGAGCAAGCACAGCCACCAACCAGGGGGAGAAGGCAGATGAGAGGGTGTCAGTGACTGCTCTTCCCTCTGCATGACTGAGCAATAAGCAATGATGGAAATAGTCACAGCCCTTTCCTTGCCTGTTCTCTCTGTGTCATGTAGTCAAGCCTGGGAGTGGTTCTGATGGATATTGTTCTGCCAAGAGCCCCCTGAACCTGGAACCAGCCTTGTCACTAGACAGACCCTAAGACACATTCAAGATCAAAAAGTAGGCATGGAAATGCTTATCAGAGTAGGCCTGGGAGATAAATGCTAACTCCCATATAGCAAAACTGATATTGGCTTATATAGGGATACGTTACCACTTTGTAAGAAGCAGGAGTTTTGGAGACAGAGCCCTCTATCTGTTGCTGATTGGCTGGAAGCTGCAAGCTCCGCCTTTTCTCCTTCACAGAACCACTTTGGTGGCGCTTCATGCGATCAATTTGTTCCTCTACACTCATTTTTGCCTTCATCTCATTGGCGAACACAGCACTTTTTGGCCTATCCTAGGGGGAAAACACAGGATGCTTGTGGTTATCTACAACCTCAAGATGTTTCTTGCATCTGGACTGGAAACTGGGGACAGATTCAGAGAGAAAAAACATGTCCTAATTATTAACTAGCAGTCCTATGTAAATCAATTTTGGTTTCTGTTAGGAGAAAGGGCCCTGACTGGAATAGCATGGGATCTGAGACATGAGGTTAAAGCCAGCAATCTATGGATGCAAAGGTCACGAATACTTCCCATGTTCTCCTGCCTACAGGGCCCTTTCTGACCTCATGAAAGTTTATTCTGGAGGTCACAAGACCTAAGTGGACTAATAGCCATGTGGGTCAGGAGGCTGCAGTTAGGAGCAAGAAGGAACAAGTTCTCTCCTCCCTCTTCCGTCAGCACAACTGCACTGATGGAAGAGGGAGAAAGGGTGATTTCATCCCCTTTCCCACTGCAGCCTCCTGACCTACATGGCTAGTACTTGGATGGTAATATATGTGGTTGTGCCTGGGCAATATAGAATGGAATGAGGGATTTGGAAACGGAGAATGTTGCTAATGAGGAACACTGGCAACGCTGGTCAGCTGGGGATTTATGGCACCGAGTGCTGTTCAGAAGCAAAACTGGAGCTGGGCATTACTGAGTGGAAGGAGATGCTGCCTAGGGAGGTAGTGAGCTCCCCCTCCCTGGCAGTCTTCCAGCAGCGGCTGGACAACCACTTGACAGGCATGCTTTAGACTGTCAAGCAGGGGTTGGACTAGATGGCCTACACAGCCAACTGCATGATTCTATTATTTGAGTTCAGGCATTCAGACCAACTACAACGTTTCTCAAGCACTGCAATAGAGGGTTAAACACTAATCCAGTTAAATCCCACTCACCCAGTGGCATGGTGTGGGGGGTGTGTGTGGATGCTGTGAGGACTGGGGCAGGGAAAATGCAGGGCAACTCAACATGCGGAAGCCCTACAGCCTGTGCACTACATTGGCAGCTGCAGAAACAATGGGAAAACCACAGCAAAGTATGTCATGTGGAACAGACTCTCCTCACTCTCTCCTAAGGCCTAGTAATCCATTTCTGCATTTTCCCTGCCTTTCCTTCAAGTAGGTCAAAATAGCATTTTGTCTACTAGTTAGGCTGAGAAAAGGTGGCTGGCCCACAGGCCTGTAGCTACGGTGGGGCATTTCATGGCTCCGCCCCCTCAAATATGAGGCACGCTCCACAACAGCTGCTGTTCCTCTCCCCCTCCCTGCCCTCCTGTGACATTAAAAAGGCCCTACAGCTGATCGGCGGGAGCACATGGCCTGCCGATCAGCTGAAGGGTCCTTTAAATCTTGCAGCCACCCCTCTCCCTCCTCCAAGATTTAAAGTGCCCTCCAGCTGATCAGCTGCACACCTCCCCTGAACTCCAAGCAGTGATTTCATCACTTGGAGATCAGCCGCAGGCAGCCCCCGCTAGAAAAACAGCATTTAAAGGGTTCCCTTTAAATGCTATTCTTTCTGGTGGGGGCTGCCCATGCTTGATCAGGCGAAATCACTGCTTGGAGTTCAGGGAAGGTGTGCGGCGGCCCCTCTCCTTGCAGGAGGTAAGGGAGAGGAGCAGCTGCTGGCTGCACACCTTCCCTGAACTCCAAAGTTCAGTGAAGGCATGCAGCTAGCAGTCGTCCCTCTTCCCCTGCAAAGGGAACCCTTTAAATGCTGTTTTTTCTAGTGGGGGCTGCCCATGCTTGAAGTCCAAGTGGCGAAATCACCACTTGGCGTTCAGGGAAGGCATGCGGCCACCCCCTCCCCACCCAAAAAAATTTCCCCATGCCCCACCAACCCAAAATGTCTGGCTATGGGGCTGCCGGCCCATAGTCACCCAGTGAGCTTCATGGCTGAATGAGGATTTGAGTACCCTTAATGACAAATTCTCATTGAAATGACCCCCAGACTTTGCCTTACCCGGGAATTCAGTCCATTGGGTAGGTTGCTTGCGCTCCTTCTTATCACACCTGATGTGGGTATGGTGTCCTCATCCAGGGGTGATTTGGTCCTTGGGGGAACAATGCCAACTGAGAGAATACAGAAGGGAAAAAGGGCAATTTAATAAGCAAAACGCAAGAAAGTCAGGTTTCTGTCAGGGATAGACATAAACCACCATATTTTATTTATCAGGTCCTTTTATGGAAACCACGCTGCTGATAGTACCTTTGTTGAGAGCTACTTGCTTGTCAGTTTCTTGCTCTTGCCGTGTCTGCAAAAGCCCTGCCTCCACTGTAGCACTGGAGGCTGTTGTCCGCTGGTGGTCTTTCTTGCTCGGCTCGAAGCTGGACTTGGACTGTGGGAGCAAATACATTTCATGTGAGGAATAGCTGAAGAAAGGTCCTGCCTCAGGAGGGCTGCCACTTTCCTTAAGCACACAGATTTCAGACACAGACAAACACACATGCAAAAAGAAAAAGAACAGAAATGCCCATACAAAATGGGAAGAGGAAACAGTAATGTGAAGAAGAAGAAGAAGATATGGTTTTATTGGCAATGTGCCAATGCTGTAAGCCGCCCTGAGCCCGCATGCGGGGAGGGCGGGATATAAATCAAATAAATAAATAAATAAATAAAATAAACCCTTGCAGGTTCTCCCCCCCCCTTCAGATTTAAATCAAGAAATGCTCCTTGCAGAAAAATAATAATACATTCAGAGACTGGATTGGACTTAACATAACTATTAGTGAAAGAAGGTCATGGTCATGATAGGAACCCCCACCAGTAAATGGAGGCCAGAAGACCAATGAAACTTTGAAAAATCATTATGATCTCGAACAAAAAAAATAACAGCTTGGAAAGAGGAATTTTCTGCAAAGAGGTTTTTCTGTTGGGAAAGCTTGGCACTCAGATAGCTGCAATAAAACCTGCTCAAGTCCCTCTCCTTCTGCTTCACCTCTCATAGCATCCGTGAGGGCAATCTCTGCAAATAACATAGATGACTAGTGCAGGGAATGAGCGGAGGAATGGAAAAGGACAACAGAACTAAAGCCACAAGGATGGATGGCACAGAATGGGCTAGCAAAATGGGCCAGAAGCAACTGAGCTGCAACCATTACACTGCCCACTTGAACCTTGCAGTCTCTCTGCCAGTCAATCAGGTTGCACATCATCACCTGCTCCGCTTTTGGTCACAGGCCGTCTAGAAGCGTCGACCTCCAGAATCAAGGCAGGAGCCTCTATACAGGCGGAGCTGTCTTTCCAGACTATGAATGGCTTGAGGGTTCTCTGTGGATCCGGCTCATAATACTCGACCCACATCTTCCCTCTATGGCAAGGGCATCTGACTTCTGTTCACTTATTAAGAACTACCAAATCCTTATAGTCCCCTTGATGGAGACTGGCATTATTGAGACTAGTTAAAAATATTGTATTACCTAAAAATGCACATTACAGATTGGAGCACAACAAAAAGAGGTGTAGGGGGGTGGGGATGTGATTTTTGCCAACATCTCCCTCCTGAAGCAGCCTTCCAGCTCCCCCCATGCTGCTACTGGAGATCCCCCCCATTTCCAGGATGCATTCTGGGCTGCAGCGGGAGGGAGGAAATGATGCTTACCTGCACAAAACTTCTTCCACGCATGGAAGTTTTAGATTAGATCCAACCCATTGACGGGGGGGGGGGACTTTAGGGTTCGAAAAACCAATTTCCATTATTAAAACTTAATTGCCTTAGTTCCCAGTTTAACTTTCTTTCCTGTGACCTTTTGCTAGATTTCTGCTGAATTTCCTAAATGTGGATGCTATCGTTCCTTCTGATGTGCAAACCTTGTGGCATTCCACTGGAATAAACAAGGCCAGTCACTATTTCTCAGCCCGTCCCTGTAGCTAGACAATTTTTTTTGGGGGGAGGGGGATGACGACATCACTTCTGATGTCACAAAAAAACATAAAATAAAAATAGAAGAGTTGGAGAAGAGTCGGCTCCCTGGCACGGATCAAGCACTCTCCTAGTCCCCCTGCCCTGCTCTCCGCACAACCCCCCTTAAACAAAAAAATTCGGCTGCAAATCAATCTAAAGGGCCTCCCCTTCTCCCCAGCCTCATGGCCCCCTCTGCCCTTCACCCGTGCCATGGGATGCGCTGGGTCCTATTGCTCCTCCAACACCCCAGGAGAGAGGCCGCCCAGCAGCAGAGTCCAGCTGTCGCTTCACGGGGGGGGGGGGGGGGGGGGGGGGGGTTCTGGCAACACCAGCCCTGCTCATGCTCTCTTCTCAGCTGCCTGCTTGAGGAGCCATTAGGTGTGGTTGCGACTGCTGCTTCAGCTGCCAGCCCCAGCCTCCTCTCCGAGCTTAGACAGCAGGCAGGAAGGGCTTCAGCTGGAAGTCAGGAAGCAGCAGGAAGAGCCAGCGAGGCCACAGCGACTGCCAGCAGTGATAAGGAGTGTGGTGCACTGGGGTGGGGGTGTTGCAGATTTAGAAGGGGGCACTGCCCCCACCACCCCTGCCTAGCTATGGCCCTGTCTCAGACTAACTTACCCTCAAGATCATTATGAGAAATAAAAGGAGGTAGCTACAGATGCCACTCTCAGCTGTTCTAAAATGTAATTTTAAAAATAACAGCAGAAGGTCTGGAGATTTTCTTCTGCCTCCCCTATTGCTCATAGCATATAATGGTTGCATCTCCAAAGCTCTTATGACATGATAGCTCATCTCAACATTGAGATGAAAGCCAGTTTAAAATGTCTCAACTACCTTTATCAGAGGTAAATGGATACATCACATTCATTGTAAATGTCAGTTCAAAACTGTGTTATAAACTGAGTTGGGAATTATTCTGAGAAGAATGCTTTTTGTCCATGACATTCTTGCTGATAATACCTACAATGGACATTTTTATACCACTCTTCTCTTGAGCAGCAGTTGTAATGGAAGTGCAGAAAACTTGCACACCAGTGTAAATACAGAATTGCAGCCAAGAGCTGGAGGCAAACAATCGTTTTGAATGAGCTAACAGTGGGCTCAGATGGGCATTTTCACGAATACACATCTTTCTTTAGGCCCCAGCATTTCCATTGTTCCAACAGATTTTGCTGGGTTTTGCACTGATTCAGAAACCTATTGACCAGAGGTAAATGTGTGGGAAATATTCAGACCAGCTTCAACTCTCTGATAAACACTATTGTCTGTCTCTAGCCTGCCCAGGATTCTGATTTGAAATCTGAGCCCCATTCCTGCCTTCTAGCCCCATCTATGATCAGAGTGGCTAACAAGAAGCCATTTATAAAGTGCAGCTCATGACCCTCTCCAAAAAACTAATTGCCCCAGAAGCCATGGCTTGAGATCAGCTTCATACATTACATTTCATATCCCTGGATATCGGGAGGAAAAATATCATGCATGAAGCTGCCTTTATTCACAATGGGCTTAGGAGATCTTTGCTTGGTCGAGACAGATGCTTTGTCAGTCAATTTGTTCCATGTCCTTCCCCGATTCCTGCGCGGAGTGTGGCAGGGGACAGAGCATGCCTCCAGTTCTCAAACTTGGTTTTGATACCTGTCCCCTCTTCGCCTCGCTGCTTTGCTGCCAGGAAGGGGAATTAGGATACGGCCAGAGGCGACTTTCAGTAGGGAGCGGAGGGATAGTCGGAGGAGATTCCAAGGGCACATATGATTTGGGGAGGGGAGGTCGAGGTGGCCCAGGCTCCTGGAGAGGAAGCCAAGAAGTGTTAGGAGTAAGAGCAGAGAAACTGTGAGAATGGGAAGGAAAAGAGAATTAGTGAGACACAGACATAAACAGAGACAGGTGTTAAACCCACAACAGGGCAGCTATGACTGGACACCCAACAGCCCAGAGATCTTATAGTCACCTACTTTCCCTGCTGAGCAACCCAATGCCTAGCTATGCAAGCCTAATATTAGCCTGATATTACTAACCATGTATGCAATAAAAATATCAGAGGGGATGTGACTTCCCCCCTCCCACACAAGTACATCTATTTCAATATACCTTATTTAGAATATAGATAAGGTATTATTTACGCACTCTGCTGTCCACAACACAATGCAAGCTGGTATCTATGACATAACTCCTGTATGGTGCAAAGACCCAGTAGGGGTTCTATACACATCAATATCAAAAGGTTTTAGCAACACAGGAAGTGTGTTGGGATGGAAAACAAGTAGGACCAGAAATAATGGTTGTTTGGGGGCAGAAGTCTGATTCTGACAGCAGATGGTAAGGGAGCATCATACGTTTGCCTTTTGGCTCTATCCACTGGTTCAGGCTTCCATGTAGCTACCTGGTATAGGAAGGAGGAAGCTTCAAAAGTCACATTGCCCATCAACCACATGCAAAGCATTCCAAAATGTTTAGAGTGCTTGAACTCCTCTACCAGTGCTCTTGCACCCACATGTCCATTGAGACAATACCTGAACCCCTTATGAACTCCAACAATCCGTTTATACAGAAGCCCACTGTTCACATGGAACTTTCTCTCTGTGCCACCACAGATTCTGTTTATGCATTTTCTATGGTGTGGAGAAAGTTACATAACTATAAATAAAGTAAATAAATAATATCAATGGCTCACTAAGGCTTCACCCAGATCATTTATGAATAGAACCAGTTCCCTTCTTTAATATTGTCATGGAAACACATGTGCAAGAGCTGCCTGAAAAGCAGAAGAGAGGGAGCACAGGTACTGTCAGGGCTATTTTTGGGCAGGCAGAACTCATTAGCATAATAGGCCACACCCAACAGCAGAAACTTATTAGGATTGGCCACATTAGGGGTGTGTGGCCTAACATGCAAAGGAGTTCCTGCTACAAAAAAAGGCCCTGGGTTTTGACAACAAACAAGGTAAGCAGAATAACAAGCAAAAGGTGGGTGTAGCTGGATAACCACTCTTCTGGTAACATGTGGGTGCGGCCTAGCGTGCTAATGAGCTGTGCTGTCAGGGGTGTGGCCCAATATGCTAATGAGTTCCTGCTGTTGGGTGTGGCCTATTATGCTAATGAGTTCCTGCTGGGCTTTTTCTACAAAAAGAGCCCTGGTACTGTTATACCTAAAAAGCAACAGTACTCTCACACACTCTGCAATAGGAAGGAAGAACCTGTTGTTTATTAGTTTGGCACTAGTGTTCCCAGTGGAATTGATGCCTAGAAGTATTCTAAGGCTCTAGAGTTTTTAGTCAGTTCCAGAACAATTAAATGTTGGATTCCTATTGGGGAGAAAGCTGGGGTATAGATTAAGTCAATAAATAAATAACAACCTTTTAAATTACAGCCAAAAAAATTACTGCAGCTTCTGCCACTTTGCATGTAAGACCAAGGTGTGTGTTGCCATCTGCTGGCAGAATGATTATATTGACAACGGAAGTGGTAGAAGGCCACCTTACCAACGACATGCTGTCCGTACTGCTCCCCCCTCCCCATTGCTCCATCTCCTCATGGTGGGCAATGACAGATTCACTTACCTCATTGCTGCCTTGCTTGGTAGGGGAGCTCTGGGAACCTGACACAAGGGAGAAAGGGCTCAGTGGACTTGTGAGACTGGCTGAGCTCAAAGGGCTGGCTGGGCTATTGGAGCTGTAGGTTCCTGATGGGCCAAGGGTCACTGCAGAAAAATAACAGGAAAGGGCCAGAATGAAT